CTTAAAAACTAAAGCCTTTAACTTTCTCAGAAGGACAAAAATTAGAATCACCTGGGGATATTAGTGTGAGAATTACCTGCGAGTAGCTTTAAGAAAAAACAAAGACCTCTTAATCAATATGGGGCAGGAAAATAGTAAAAAGACCTTTGAAGAGCTACAGAGAGCCCAAAAGGGCAGGAAACTTTACCTGAGAAAAGCAAAAGCCAAGCTTCACAGTTACAGTCGAGCTGAGGCACCGAGGGTTTTGTCTGAGTGAGAGTTTCAGAATGAAAAGGTGCTCCTAATCTTCCTAATGCAAAGAATCCCCTGAAGCAATGCAAACTGTTAGCATTGTATCCTCGCTTTTGACCAAAAACCTAGAGGCGACTGGCCAGCGTCTCTGAGTTGGGGTGCATTTGGGGATACTAGGGTTCCTGCAGTTGAAAACTTCCTGGAGCACAGAGCTGAGGCAGGAAGGTGCAGGACCCAGGGGAAGATTGCTAATGAACAAAGCAAGCTAAAGCCAGTGGGAATGGCACAGTTGTCCACTTTCCTACAAGTCCCGGGTTGATAGGTCCACAGCTGCAAAAAGAAATCTGAGAAAAAGCTTTCCTATCAGAGAAAGGACCTTTCTGGGAAAACAGTAAAGCTGAACTGGGTCTGAAGCAGTCGTGCTGCCGAGTCAGAACGCTGTCTGGGGAAAGAGCCCAGCCAGGGCAGAACAGAGCTATCCAGGAGTAAAACTTTTTCTATCAGAGAAAGCATCTCTTTGAGAAAAGCTTTGTTTCAACTGACTCCTGATGAGATGAGGGAGAGTAGCCCTGAGGGGTGATTGCCTCTGGCATAAGCTTTGTCCTTGAGCACCCAGACAAGCAAATGCAACCCACTGGGGGACTGGGTCAGGTGAAGGCCTGATGAGGCAAAGCACCTGTTCTAATGGGAATTTAGAAACGGCAAAAACCTCCCTTGTTAGATTTTCAGTCTGTACGCAAAGAACACAGACCCCGAAAACAAACGGACAAAAAGCCCCTACCTTCAGTAGCAGGGAAAGCCGCCACTGTAGTGTCGGAAACTGTTTCTTGGGGTAGAGGGGATAAACTGAGACCAAACTGGGAACTGTCTGGGAGAAAGACTCTGAAGAAACAGAGAAGGGACACAATCCTCCCCAGAAAATATGACCTGAAAAAGCTGCTAGAATTTGAGGCAGATTTGGGGGGAGAAAAGCCCCTACCTCCAAAGGCAGCTAGCAGAGGTACAGAGCCGCAGACA